GAATCCTAAAATACAGGCTGAGAGGACAAAGTGCCTGCAGGGCTGCTCACCTCCCAGTAGAATTTTAGAGGGTTCTGGTCAGCTGGCTTAGAAAACCTTTCAATGGGGAATTATGAAAAGAAATTATGGGGTTGATGATGGGGTTTTTCTCATCTACCTTTAGATAAACAAAGCAGACATTTACAGTTGTCTAGTCATCTTAAGTGAAAGAAAAAAGACAAGTTATTTCGAGTCATCTGTTCTAATCCACATGCCTGCCACGAGAAAGTGCATTTTCTATCCCTTCACTCCAACTGATTTTCAGTCTGATTCAGTCAAAAAAGTGAATAGGAATGTGTAGCAGGGGAAAAAGGAGGTGGAGGTCACTATCTTGGGATTAGTCCTTCTTAGCTGAGCATAAGGCAGCCCAAAAGCTGAACCTTCAGAGCAAGAGGAAGGTCATTCCTTCCAGCTGAGCAGCAGGGGCAGCAGGGCATGTGCTCCTCTTGAACCCCTGCCAGCTGCAAAGGAGAATTATTGCAGCCAAAACAACCGCCAGGGTCAAGTGACTGCTGTGTATTTATAGCAGCACTGAGTGCCCAGACTAACAAAGGAAAGGGAGCAGGTCTAGCAGTGCCACCTCCAGCTCAGGTTCCCTCTGCTGCACGTCTGGTCTGCAGCTGTGATGAATTCTGTCATGGTCTCCTCAGCAGATGTGAAAAGTAGAATCAGGTCAGGTTGCCATATGAATGGGACTCAGTGGATCCTTGCAAAGACTGCTCTGCAATGCTGAGGTTGGCCAGTGCTTAAGGAACTGATGGCACCTTAGGATACAAAATGACACTAGAAATAGGAAAAGAGAAATTCTAAGTACTTCTGGCTGTTCAGGGCCTTAGAGTTTTTATTTAGGCCAGTGTGCTTCTTCACTGGTGAAATGTCTTACTGTTTGTGATTTGGTGGTGCAAAAGGTTATGGATATTTCTATCTTAAGCAGGAAATAACAGCACCATCCCTTATAAAAGTAATTGTGAAGTACATAAACCACTGAGGCTGTTCAATTATGTAACTAATTATGTCTGTGTCTCTGATGTTTACATTGTGCTGCCCTCACTCTGGGATAGCCCACACCTATTGCAGGTATCTGGGTCGGGAAATAAAGAGTGCTTTCCAATTGAGTTTTATGTAAGCCCTTCTTTGCTGCCACTCCTCCTCAGAGCATGCAGAACCTCCTGATTATTCTTATCCCTTTCCAGCTGGTATGAAGATTGAAAACCACAGTGGAGATGCCCAGCTTGCACTTATCTATGGTTTCCTTCAGGTAGAAAATGAAGATCAGAGCCATGCAGTTGGATGGCTTTCTTGGAATCTGTTTTTTTGAGAACTTTCATCCTCATATTTATGCTCTGGTATGATAAATTCTTTAGCTGGCCAGCTGAGAGTGTGCCAGGGTAATGTTTATTCTCTCAACTAGTATTTTTTACTCTTTGCTGTACTGTAGCTTCAACCTAAAAGCCAGTGGAAGCTCAAACTGGAACTGGAAGTGTTATTACTGATGAAGGTTTAAAGTTTTTTAGGGGGAATGTCTCTGAGAAATCGAAATGGCATTTTATGCTGTGGGATCACAGGATCTGACTCAGGTTTCCAGGCACAATCAGGGCACAAGCAATCTTATGTCATGGTGTCTCACATGTTACATCCATCTGCACACTGCCTATCTTATCCTCCTCCTAATTTAGGCTTTGCCCTGATCTCAGAGAAATCTACCCTGTCCTGAATTCTGTGTCAGGGTAATATTTGTGTGCTGTGTGCACACAACTCCAAAGTATTTGTAATGATCACAACTCAACTGATGATTTCTTTTCTGCCATCCAGTTACTCTTTTGACCATGGAGCAGATTTTTATTTCACTCACAGTGTCAGTAATGTATATGAAAGGCCTGCCATCTTTAATGATTCCTATAGACTCCAGATTTAAGTTCCCTTTGGTCCACCCTTCAAGCTCATCACTTCTCTGCCTGAAAAAACCTCAGGGGAGTGTAAACTTCTTTTCCTTGGGTAGCACTTACCCTTATTTAGGTTATTTACCTCAGTGGAAATATTTTATGTAGTCTTTGCCTGAAATGAATACAAAAAATTCCTTTCACAGATGAAAAGCATTTCATAGCTAGTCACTCTTGTATTTACTTCCTTAAAACAGTTATAGTGTTGTTTAGACAAATATCTGCTTGTTTTCACAAATAAAGTAACTTGTCCCCTAACGTGTCAGGAGTTTAGATTTGCCAGGAGCTATTAATTTAGATATTCTGCCAGTCAGTCAGAAATATGTTCCAAGGAATTCAAACCAGGAAATTCAAGAGGAAAAACTAACTGCAGAAAGCAGTGCACTTCCCCTTCAGAGCCTGGATTCAATGAATCCAGGGAAGGATTTCAAAGCAGCATCTCAAAAAGGAATAGAAATTATCAACAGTGTTTAGAAGACAGCACTGTCTACTCATGTATTGTGTTAGTAAAGTAGAGTATCCAAAAGTAGTAGTAATCCAAAAATATGTAAATCCAATTACTAAGTACTTACAGCTGACTTCTCTTTTCAACAGGTGGTTCCACATGCACAACCACATGGGAACTGTGATTAGACTCAGTCTTTTGTAACTGCATCATCTACAGGGTAGAATGAGAGCCTAAAATACACATAAAATACAGCAGATTAAAAAAAAAAAAAACCCAAAAAGAAAATGGCATGTCATCATATTTTAATTTCCCCAATCACTCAAGTCATCTCCCAGTTAGACCTGCTGGAGTTGGATCTGTTTCTTTCAATGTAGAAAGTGAAACTTGGGTAAAAAAATTATATATATATATATATATATATATGTATATGTATATGTATATGTATGTATGTATTTTAATTTTTCTTCTTGAGATTTCTTCATATAGATACACATAGATTTTTCTGTGAAAGCATAGAGCTGGAGCAAGGTTAGGTTAAAATTTTCCCTTTAAGGAAGCTGAGATAAGGAGCCTTATCTCAGCACAAAAACTCAGAAGAGCCTTTGTGTTTCCCAAAGTCCATGGGGAGTTTGCTTAACTATTCCTCTCTGTGAACAAGGGCTACCCAGAAATATCAGCATTCTTTTTACTGGAGATAACCTTTATCTCCTGCACTTCAGAGGATGGTTGTAATTGCTTTGCTTGTTGGAGTCAACAGAAAACCAGCATAATTGTTTGCCCCAAGCCCTGTCTCCTCCAGTAAACAGAGCTGGGAACCAACCTCCTCCTTCAGCACTCTGGACTAGAGCTGGGGAGAAAAAAAGCTCCAGTACTTTCATCCCCCTCTTCAAGGCTGCTTGTTTTATTTTCTACCCTGCCTCCTAAAAGATATCACAGCTCCAAATATGATCATTTTTACAGGCCCTGCCTGTGGGTGACTGTCACTCTGTTATCTCTGGAGTACTGAGTACTACCAGTTAACTCCTGGGCAGTTCAGTAGCAGATGAAGGAAGAGTTGGGGTCTCAAAACCACTGGCTGTTTACACACTCAATGAAAAAGCACCAGAAGATACAGGATTTTTTTCATCCTTTCTTCCTCTGTGTAAAGTTATGAGTTTGCTTTCTTCACAGCCATCAAAGAGTCCATATGATAGAGATATTTCATAAAACAGACTCCATTCCTTCTGTAGCGTTTCTCAGCATGCATGGTGCTCAGAACAAACTTGAATGAAAGAATAGGCAGAATTTGTCACTCCTGTCATCACAGAACAGCAAAGGAGACATTGCAGGGAGGGGACAGGGAAGGTTTGGGACATGCACAGGCAGAAGCATATGGTATAAACTGCCTGTCTGGGAAGTACAAAGGAGGAAAAAAAACATAGGGAAAAAATTTCACTAGCCTGTTGATTATTAAAAAACCATTGCAGACACAGCTTGTCTATTCTTCCACCGGGACAGGGCTCTGGTGGCACGGGAACAGGCGGATGTGTAATGTCAGGGTGGTCGGGTAGGGGTAAAACAAAACCTGGAGGATGAGAGCAGGAGGTGGGACTGATATGTGAGGATGTGTCACCTATTAGCACACCAGCAGCGGGGCATGGAGACCGAGTGAGTCTGAAAGAGAAGTGCGGAGTGCCCTGTGCCAAGAGACGCCGAAAGAGCTGGGGTGCACCGCTGGCACACGTGCCAGGACACCCCATGTGCCAGGACACCCCATGTGCCAGGATAGCCCATTGCTCCCTGGCATTGGTCCCTGCTGAACTGAGGGCTCCCTCCAAGACACATTCCTCTTGGCTGCTCCCACGGGTTGGATCAGCCTTCTCTTTTTCAGACCAAGCCAAATCTTTTGTTTCTGCCTACCAAACCCATTCCCATTTTCCCCCTCATGTCCTGAGTATGATCAATACACTCAAGCATAGCCTGGCAAAGCTAAAAAAGCTTCTAAGAATGGCAAAATGTTTGTCTGTGAAGCAGCTCTGCAGTCGGATGGTTTTGTATGCAAGAGGTTCAGCCACCAAGAAGGAGCGCAGCACAGGCAGCTGAAGAGATGAATGACTCCAGCTAAGAGGGAACATGGGCAGATGGTAATTTACTCAATGTGCTTGGGACACGTTGGAGGAGTTTCTGTTTGCATAATTTCTGCTCTCATTAAGTCTTGATAGACTTTTTTTCCCCCCTATGCATTTAAATTTTTCTCCTCACATGTATTTCAAGAACAGCGGTGACGAAAATGTAGAAAGTGTCCTGCAGTGGAAAACACTGGAGATGATTTAACTCGCACGGTTTCTCAGGACCAGTCTAGAATAGGTTTTGCTACCAGTTACTCTCCTACTACCTTCACAAAATTATCACCCCGAGGGGGGTTTTTGCTCTTCCTGAGAAAGAAAATTTCCTCTCTGCATTTCAATGAAAGGCATTCAGCCCTTTCTCCGCCCCCAGGCTGTTTCCTGTGCAAACCCTCAAAATTTCATTTTCTTTTTGAACCAGCTACATTTGCATTTCAGTGGGCCCTCTGAGACATTTTTTTTGTCAGGGTTCGAGAAAGGGCTGTGCCGAGGACCATGCTGGGGGACACATCTGGAGTTGTCTGAGGAGCCAGGACCAAGTCCCTTGCAGCACAAGCACAGTGACAGCAGCAATGTCAGACTTTCTCCCAGCCTGTGGCTCCTGTGACAGCTGTTTTTATCCATGCAGGCCGTGTATTTGCAGGTATGGATGCAGAGGTGCTCACATTACTGTAACCCTGGGCTGTGACAGGTATGGAGAACTCAAGCTTGCAGTACCCTGCAGTTTCTGCATGGACAAGAAAACACCTGGGGCACTCTTTAATGTTTAAAGCCCCTAGTCATATTTAGGAGGTCAGGATGCCAGAACAGCTGGAGTGCCTGATGGACTTGAGCCTGAGTGTGAGGGCCTCCAGCATGAACATATATTTAGCAAGGTGAATTCTGACCAGCATCCTTGACTCAGGTTTTTACTCCGCTGTGCCATCTGTGTGCACTGGATAAACAGATTTTCTATCCATCATGCAGCTCTAAGATGGATTGGCTTTCAGAAGTAAATTGAAAAAAAATAGCTGCCCTTGGACATGGTGAGGTGAAATCATATCCATGATTGCCTCTGGTGGAGGAAATCCTTAAATGGCAGAGGGGAGGAAGGAGCAGAAGCAACCTGAGCTTTTTCTTTAATATGTCTGGCTGGCACACGCTGGCATTGAAAAACTTGTTAGTAATTTATATTTGCCACTTGAGGCTTTATCTTTACTCCATTAGATTTTGATGTAGCTGTGCCAGTTGCAGGTGGATGGTGAGGCCTGCCAAGGGTACAAAAATAATTGGGAGGATCAGCACCATAGCAACCCGGTTTGCATCACAGCAGCCACAGGTGTGCATTCCATAGAACACCATTAGGAATCTTCCTGCCACGAGGAGAGGTGATTTTAGACACTGACCTGGAAGCAGCACCCGTGCCAGGAGAATGAGGGAGAGCCTGTTTCATAGGCAGATGTGGGCTGAGATAAGTGGCAAAGCTGCAGGTTCAGATGTGGGCAGTACCAAGTGGGGAGCTGGGATTCCACATGTGGGATTCTGGTGTGGCCAGCCAGAATGTTTTACCTTGATCTGTGGACTGAGGACACATGTGAGGTGTGGATGGTGCTGATGCCCTCCCTCAGTTTCCTCTCCACAGCCTCTGAAGCTGGATGGCTCTGCAGTGATAACTGGGCTTGTTCTGGGAGCAGGTGCTGTATAAGGCAGGGCTGTGCACCTGACAGGGTCTGGGCTTGATGGAGATGAGCTCAGCAAAGCCCTTGTGCTCCTTTGGCTCTGCAGACCTGCCCCGGGCACAGCCACACCTCTGCTCTGACCCACATGCAGAGCAGCTCATGAGCCAGAGCCAGAAAACTTCCCAGGAGGAAAAATCCTGGCATCATCTGTATGACACCCACATTTAACACAGAAGGAGTATTGGGTTGGGAGCCAGCATTTGTCCAAAGGAGGAGACCCTAAACAAGACGATGCAAGACAAGCCCCAGAGATGTTACTGTACCTGGGGATGGATGAAAAGGTCCCTCATCAGGGGGTGATATTGATGACCTGTTGCTGTGGCTTGAATGTGCTTTGTCTGTCAGGGCTCTCCTTCTTCACAGCATCTCTGTTTCCATGGGGGCTCCATGTGCTTATGCAAAAGTGCAGGAATCCTCCTTCTCCTCTACAGAAAGATATGACCCTTTAAATTGCGTTATTCCAGCCAGGCTGTTGTCCAGCATCCCTTAGTAGAAAAAGTTTGATGTTACAAAGTGGGGAAAAAAAAATCAGGAAAGAAACCATTGAGGCCAGACATTTTGGAGAGGAATATTTTTTGCTAGTCCCTGGCAGGCAGTGGGTTGGTACTCAGCCTGAAGTCACAGCTGGGCTGGGAACAGCTTGGGGTTTGAATGCCAGATGGAGCAATGCTGGGTGTACTGCTCAGACCTTGGTTACATCTGGCCACTAAGCCCAACTTAGCTCTTTTCAAAAACATTTGTTAGACACACTGCAAGGAATGTCCTTTGAGTTCACATCAGGCATGAGGGATTTCATATTGTAGCCTTTTTGAATCGCGTTTCAGTTAAAATGTACTTCATGACAGTTTTTGGTAGTTTAAATACAGGACAGGAAAGTTGGGGGGAAGAGAACATGGAAAGTATGACTGATTTTGGTTAAATATTTAGTAGGTAAAATACTTTGTGTGCACACAGATGAAGACAAATTCACTCATTTTAACCCAAGCAAACTTAAAGACTCCAGCTTCTCCAGCATCACTGGTGAGGAGCTGCCGGAGCTGAGCAGTGTGAAACAAGGGATGCAAGGCTCCTTAGCCCTGGACAGGCGGCTTCTTTCTCTTACAGATGCTAATAGCAGCTTCTCCTCTTACAGAGATCCTCTCCCAGGAGGGAATTAGGGTTTCCACAGTGCAAAACAAAGCCAAACTGCTTAATAGTCTCATTGTTCTGTCCAATTCAGCCCAAGGACAACTCCAGCCAAGCAAAGCTGGGGTAGAAGTACCAGAGGAAAGGTTAACCTTTAGCAGCTTCCCCTTCAGCTTTGTTGCTGTGTGAGGTGTGATTATTTCAAATTAGAGCTAACTTCAGGCCCAATCATGGGAAATGAACCTCAAATTTTAATTCTGCTTTGTAGGGGTGTGCAATGGTACAGCAGAAGCTGGGATGACAGCAGCTCCACAAGTTAGATTCCTGTCTTTGAAAAAAATGTTCCACTGAAACAGCTGTGGATGCTAATTCCAATATCTGTTTTTGTGCTCTGGTGCTGTGCAGAATCAAAGAGCAGCACTTTGGTAGAATATCTGAGGGTTTCTTTTCTCACCTGCTGGTATCAAGTATCTGAGTTAAAAAGAAGAGCTGTGCTGTTATTTGGGAGCAGTACTTGTGTTATGCAAACTTTGGCAAGAAATGTAAGATTTCCATACCAAGACACATCAGGTGACTAAAGTGAATAAAAACCCCAGTCATGTTTCATGATGAAAGTGTGTAATTTTCACAGTCAAGATCTATGATATTTAGAAATCTGTAACTTTTTAGAGAGAAGATTGGAAAGCACCCATTTGAGTTTCCTGTGCATTATTATATGCTCTTTCCTGTCCATAACCTGAATTGTTATTGCATATATAATTAACAGAGTGAAAGTCCTGTTCTACAACTAATTGGGATGGATATGTTAAATAGGAGGAGAGCCTTGTTTCAGCTACATGCTTTTTTTTTTTTTTTTTTTTCTGTGCAGAATTAGTTTAGAACTTTAATTGCCTATTCATGCATTAAAAAGGATGGAATCATTCATATACAAAAAGGAAGTAAGGCAGTCCTTGCCTGTTGCACAAATATGTTTGGACTGCCTCTTGATGAAGTTTCCTAGAAATCATTCATGTTCCTAGGGTTTTATTTTGCTGCAGCTTTCTAACTGTGCTATCATAAATAGTTTTTAATACAGCTTGGAAAATCCTCCTGAACATTGTGACTGTAATTATTGGACAGAACTTGCAGCTTGCTTTGATCACAGACTACACAGAAACCTTTGTTCCAGTGCAGGCAATGAAATGTGAACTAAGTCATGGCTCTGGTGGCTTTAATACTTGACATTTGTTGAGTGAAAGAAAAAGAAACACCCAGCTGGGTGAAAATCCAGGGGACATCCTGAGCTATAAGAACTGTGTGGATAAAGAACTCCAGGAGAACTTTAGTCTCTTGGACAATGTTTTATGGTTTGTTTCTAGTTTAAGAAGGGTTTTGTATGTTACTTATAAACTGGAATTTAAATTGTATCATATACACATATGAAATAATGTGGGTTTTAAAGAAAATAGAGTTCTATTTCATATTAACTATCTGATGCCACACAAACAAAGCAGTTCAAGGTTGGTCATGGCTTTCATTAATGCCTGTAACCCCAGCTCTTTTCTGAAACACTGATGGGGAAACTCCTTTTCCTGCCTTTGGAATTGAAAAGGGAATTAGCAAAGCAATAGGGAGCAGTCATGGAATGAAACCTTGACAAAACCAGCCTGGTTTTTTAGCAATGCTCCAAACACAATCCTACCATCATTCTGCATGTCCTCCTGCAAAGGTTAGAGGAAAAGAGAATGGGCTGTTTATCAAAGCCTCTCCTATCTGCTTTGCCCTTCAGAAACTGATAATTAAGGCACTGCTAGCCTGGGGACTGTTTAGTGCCCTGGACCACCCAAGTGGTGGGTGTGGGAGGCATTTTGTTAAGGAATATCCACAAATGCACCCATCTCACAATCCTAAAGCAGCTTTACAGGTAAGAGAGGCCTTGGAAAGACAGACACTTGCTAATGATTCTCTCAGCAAATAAAAACCTCTAGCAGTCCAATGGCTTTGTTTGTGCAGTTGTTGAATATTATCTAAATTACAGATAGGAGAGGATGACTGGCTAGAGCAGCAATCTTTTGTCCAAATTCTTGTCTCCCTTGAGCCCTCCCTCTACCCCAGGGATATGCTGGTGATAATTTCACCCCACCATCACTTTGAGCAGTATCAGGGGAGGAAACTACGTTCGAGGTTTGAGGTTTGTCACCTGGAGCTGCTCCAAAGTGGGAAGACTGCTGGGGACACACTGGGAGAGGGGACACCTGGTATATTTAGGGACCTGTTCATGCAGAGCAAAGTGACTACATTTGACAGCATGTGTTGTATGACTTCAGATCCCGGGGTTAGCAGTATGGCATGGAGTGAAGAACAGTTGTCTCTTGCCTCACCAGGTTTATTTTCCATTTACTTATGCCTTACCTTGTCTCTTCCTTTACCTCCAGTTTCCTAGTAGAGGATATAGCAATCAATCAATTTAGTTTTAATTATGTAAAGGAGGGGTAGAAGCAAAGGCCTGAACACTATAGACCACAGAGAACATTTTTTTCTCATATTACTTATTTGTTGGTAATTACTAACCCTTTACATTGAAGGGCTTTCCAGTCACCTGAATTATTTATATTCATTAATAAAACAGTAACATTTCCATTCTCCATGAGTGGCTGCCTTTCTGCCATTTTCTGCACTCATATGAACAATCTCTGAAGAATTCCAGATGAACTAGGGGGAAAAAAAAGGAAAAAACAAAAATCTGAGAAACCATGAAAAGTCTTCCTCTGATTTCCTCATATGCCTTAAATTGCACTGCTGCTATGTCACTGAGAGCTGAGTTAGAAACAAAGGAGTCAGAGGGGCTCCCTAGCAGCACACAGCTGGTCCCTTTAACTTCAAAGGCATTTGCACCAGCCTTTGACCTCCTTCTGAGGGCAAGGAGGACAGCAGTACCCCTTTCACAGTCTCTTGGCTCTGCTTCTTTTATTTACTGCAGATTTACTGCTGCTGGGTAGCAAATCACTCTCAACTTTTCACTTTAGACAGACACCAGAGGTTCTGCAGAGCGTTTGGGGCTCATTCATGGATGGGGTAGAGAAATCCTTAATTCAGAGCCCCTCAAGTCTCTCCAGAGGTCTGGGCTCTCCCACTGAGCTGCATTCATGACTGTGGAGCCAGAAAAGTGACTGGTTCTCACTGCAGCCTGTCCACTTCCCCTGCCTGAAATGAGCACCACAGGAGTCACCCAACTAAGTTTTCCCTTCTTGCAGATTTTTCTTTCAGGTCTCAGAGATGTGATCAGTTCTCCCCAGGCTCCTGTTTCACTCATAGTTAAACTTGTAATTTCCCTGTATTTTTCTGAAAACTTTGTTCCATATCATCTCCACCTTATATTCCAGTAGTTGCTGTCTTTTAATCATCATATTTTTTTTTCCCAGCAGTGTCCTAATGACACTTATAAAATAAAATTGATCAGAATAATTATGCTGTTGGGACAGAAGGGAGTGTTGTTCCAGTTTCTGCCTTTGCTACGGGTAGGTATGGTGACCTTGTCCTTGGAAGCTTCTCTGTGCATTTCCTCCTCTGTGATGTGTTGGTCTTGATAAGATAAATTGCAAGGAAGTAATTCCAGTGGCCTGAAACAGTCAGCCCAGCCCAGGCTTCCTGCCAGGGTGTTGTGTATTTCCTTATGTCATGGTTTAACCCCAGATGGCGGCTCAGCACCACACAGCAGCTCCCTGAATCCTTCCCAACAGGATGAGGAAGAGAATTGGGGAAAAAAAGAAGTAAAACCCATGTGTTGATGTAAGAGTAGTTTAGTAATGGAAATAAATTAAAATATAATAATAATATTAATAGTAATGAAAAGGGAGCTAGTAAAAAGAGAGGGAGGAATCAAAGGCAAGAAAAACAAGGGATGCTCCGTGCAGTTGCTTGCCATGTGCTAACCTGAATCTGCTCCTGAGCAGGGATTGGCAGCTCCCAGCCACCTCCCCCCAGTTTTTATACTGAGCTCTATGTTCTATGGTATGGAATATCCTTTTGCCCAGCTTTGGTCAGCTGTTCTGGCTCTGTTTTTCCCCCTCCAGTTTTTTTTCCACCTGGTGGCTGACAGAGCCTGGGAAACTAAAAAGTCCTTGATTTACAGTAAGCATGGCTTAGCAGCAACTAAAACATCAGAATGTTATCAGCAGTATTCTCATCCTAAATCCAAAACACACCATTGTACCAACTACTAACAAGAAAATTAACTCTATCCCAGACAAAATTAGGCCTCCTTCTCAGTGCTTTCCAAGCAGATTCAGGAGGTGTGTTAGCTGTGGGCTGCCCCTGGCTGCTGGAAGAATTCCTCCTTCTCTTCCTGGCAGCTGCTGGAGCAGGGCAGGTGCAAACTTGGCCTTTCTGGCTCAGTGAGAACAATTTTGGATGTGACCATCATCAGTTCTGCAGGAGTTTTAACAGCACTCAGCAAAGCATTTTTCCTTCCATAAAGTGCAAGTGCTTTAACTCCACCCATGGCCTATGAAATCAGCTCCAGAAGAGATTTGCATCAAGAGTCATCATCAAAATATTAGCAATGTTACCCACACCAGCAAAAGTAAAACGGGTCAAGTAGAACTATAAAGGTTGAAAAGAGGAACAGTTATTTTAACCAGTCATGTTACAGTAATTTTTGTCTCCCTCTATCACCATCTAATACATCAGACATTGCTCTGGCAGGATTTCCTTATGGAGACACATCATTACAAAAACTCTAAATGCAAAGCTGAGGTTGCTGAGTAGCTGAGTCTGTAAAGTGCATGGAAGGCTGAACCACCTCTCTACAGGTGTGAGTGCAAGGACTTTAACTGAGTGGTTCTTTAACTGAGTTCATCCCATCAGAGTTGTCATTTGTTCCACAGATGAGTTTCTCTTTGCCTGTGTGCCTATTTCACATCTTAGTTGTGTGGGCACAGCTCTGTCTTTTTGCCCTCAATAACTACCTGTCTTCTAATCTTTGATGTGCCTTGATACTCTGCTTTTTGAGCAGAGCAAACAAGGAACTTTTTGATTCTCCTAAGGGAACAGTAGCCACTTTTACCTCTTAATCAAGTGATTTTCTCTCTCATAGGCTTTTCTCTTTATCTGTTTTGTGATTCATGTGGGCTACATCTATTTTGTTTGTTATCAAAGGCTCTGTTCTGATGCTCCTATGGCATTTGTGATGGAAAATGCACACTGCTGTCCCAAGGATGATGAGATCTGACAGCTGGTATCCAGATACAACCAGAGCAGAAGTCTCCAATCATTCCAACTCTTTTCCCCATGGCACAGACTGTATTTAAGCTTTTGGTGAACTGATGGTAAGAATCAAGATCTTATTTGTGAACAGACTCTGCTCTGAAAATGAAAATAAAGGATATGCTGAACTCCAGGAAGGTGTAGCTATTCAATTCTGTGACCAACAAAAAAGGAATTGTGCTTGGAGTGAAATAAATGACGAAGCCCATAAAGTTTTGCCCTCACATGAAAAAGAGTCCAGGTTCTCCAAATGACAATGAAGCCAACACAATTTTCAGGATATACACAGAGAATAGATAGATTAGATAGATAGATAGATTAGATAGATAGATAGATCATAGATAGATAGATAGATAGATAGATAGATAGATAGATAGATAGATAGATAGATAGAATGAATTTTTCTTAAAGTCCATAGCATCTCAGATTGTATGACTGTATGGGAAAATAATCTCACTTAAAGTTTAGGGAAAGCAAATGTTTCTACTGTGCTATAAAAAAGCCAAGCTGGAAGGCAAATGGGCTCAGCGGATAAAATGAAGAGACAAAGACTTACTGATTTTTTTTTTCACATCAGAGAATGGAGAAACCCACTCAAACTTTCATCCTGGTGGGAATGGCTGCTATTCCTATAAGGGAGTAATTGATTTTGCTATTGCTCTTTGCTCTAGCCCTGGGTACATCCCAGGCTGGCAGAGACACCTTGCAGTGGTTCTCTCCCACTTGTCTAGCTGGAACCTGCACACTCTGCATGTGCAGAGAAGATTTAAGACAGACAAAATGTTTCAGAACTTTGTTCTTGGTCCTCAAGGAGTTCAGTGTACATAGGAGGGGATTTCCAGCAGTGCCTCCAGGCATGATGGATCTCTTCAGTCTGTGGAGTAGATTCACCTCTGCCTGGTCCTTTTCCCCGTCTCCTCCCTCTTTTTCTCTGAAATATAGGGGACACTGCAGGACTCAAATTTAATATAAAGTTGTGTAATGTAACATATGTGCTCACTACTTTAAATATTTTGGTAAATGTGTAGCTGCCATTTTTACCAAACACAAAGCAGAGCTTAGAGGTTTTCCTGTCTGAGGCATGGGAAGCTTCAACTTAAACTGGAACATTGATTTATTTACATGCTATCTGTGACAGAACAGTTCAGACTTTCCAAGTCACAGGGTTTTCAAGGCAATTAGTCAATTTATGAAGCAGAATTATGTGGGTGATTTTTGTTTTGTTTTCTTAATTGGCATATTCTAACCCACGGCAGATGAACTGGTCTGTTACGAAACCAACACACTAAACTGTGAGTGGTTTTATTAATTTACCCAAATAGATTATTTTGAGATTATTTTGGGACATGGCAAGTTTGCTTCCCCATCCACCCATATATATATATATATATATATATATATATATATCTGCATGTGTGTGCGTGTGTGTGAAGTGTTTACACACATACAACAAGTTTAAAGAACACAGAAAACAGTGGATGCACAGAAATGCAGCACATCCGATGCAGAAACTCATCTCAGTCCCACTGGGTTTTATCATTATTTTATCATATGAAGAAAGACTAATTCTGATCTATGTGCAGCAATGCTAGGGGCAATGATTTTGATTTCTTGAAGGAGTGTTGATGTCAGTTTGGGTGGGCTTTGTGCCTACTCAGAGATCTCCTTTGTGGAGGAGAAAAAATCAGGAGGAGGCACAAAGTGCTGGGATAAACTGAAGAGCTCTTTCTAAAAAGTTGTTCTGGTGCAAGGTGTGTGGTACTTTTCAAAAGATGCTGCTGCTCTCAGGGGTTGTGCTCAGCAGGACATAAAGACATGACACATGCCTGGCAAAGACAGCAGCCCTGAGGTGTAATAAGTGACTCCTGTCATGTCATCATGCAGAAATTACTGCTACCACAGCCAGGCACTGTGGAGATCCTGACCCTGCTGGTAGTCCAAGTGCCTTGGAGTACTTTACAAACACACATTATTTGTGCCTCACAGCACCTCCTGAGCCACTTCATATCACCTATTGCAAGATAAGCAGTGCCACAACCAGGAAGGAAAAAAAAATAGCTAGTGCTGCCAGCAAAATTAGCTTCCCAACACAGAGTAGGAGAAGCCTGGTTTTCAGTGCTGTGCTGCATTTGTTTGGGTTGGACATGTGCTGTGTCCCCAAACAGAGGCACCACAAATGAGAAGCTGTACCTGCAAGAGCTGGGGTTCGTGCCTCACTTTACCTAAAGTCAAATACCTGCCAAAAAAAACAAAACCAAAAAACCACCCCGAACTATTGCTCAGCTCCCAGCCTCCACAAAGCCTCTGGAATGTGCCTGGATGTGATGTTCACATAGCTCCATGTGGGTGCTGAGACATCTGCTACAATTTATTTTTGTGGCAACAAAGCTTGGGCAATTTTCAGCAAACAAGAAAAAGGGAAAAAAAAAAAAAGGAACATTTCTGGAA